TAGTCCCTATTGATCTTATTTATAGGGCATGGCATCTCGGCGCGGTGGAAAGGAAGGCGCAGCGTGCTGGGAGAGGTCACCGCGGCGCGTCACTTGTGCACGGCATGGAGCTTCAGCATGGGCGTGGCAGGTCTCTCCTTCACGGCGCGGGGGCTGCGCAGCGGCGCGGCAGAGGTTGGTGACGCGGCGCGGGAGTATCGCGGGAGGTGCTGGGCATAGGGAGCAGCAGTCGCCGCGGCGCGCTGGCTGCCGCGGCAAGGGGCGCGAAGTCTGATCGTATGTCTAAGACGCGGCGTGGTCGCGGCATGAAGCCCGGGGCGTTGGCGCAGCGTGGAGCTCTCGCGAGCGTGGCAGCGGGTGTGAGCAGCAGGTGCCGTGGCGCGGGGCGTGAGGCTTGGTTGTCTGTCTGTGTCGTGGCGGTGGCGCGGCGCGAGGTCTGGGAAGGCTCGTGGGCAGCTCACACAACTTTGTATTTTGGGCTCGTATGGGTTCGTCCGATCTCCAAATCGAGATCCGTTTTCTCCTGTGCGAAGCCAACGAAATCCACTATTTAATTACGCTTGCCCACATGATATTTTCCTGAAAGACTATTATCTCGAGACTTCCAACCTGCACACCAACGATGAAGAAAAACGGGAAAATGACCGAAAAACAACGCAAATACCTAAAGGACTCCAAATAGAAGAGAACACGAAATAAAATAAAAAACGATCTAAAACCAACTAAAAGACCTAATATGAGGGAAAAAGAAAAGAAAAATAACAACGAAAAATGCAACAAAAATGGGACAACAACTCCCCCACACTAAAACCTTTGTTCGTCCCGAACAAAAAAAGAAAGGAAAAGACACGAAAACAAGCAAACGAGCATGGATAATAGTTTCAGATAAGACAAGTCTCAAATTAATCAACTTAGCCGAGGAAACTTCCAATGACCAATCATGTATACTTCAACTACACTTGAATGTAACATTTTGAAAAGACAACTCTCGAGCACGGAAATATAATACATAAATGTCTCACTCGATTTCTTTCATGAATATAAAATTGGGACGCTCAAATTGGTCGATCATCATGCATCAACATAAGCTTCCTTATTATCTATTCATACTCTAAAACAATCAAAATAGTAAATTTGCAAATCAAGGGGACTTCCGGGTTGCAGTGTTGGCATCACGGGGAGGACAAATATAGGGATAAAGTGGCTCAAATAAACAGTCAAACCTTCGAGCACATAAATAACTCGAACACATTACCACTTAACCAACATCAACATGATAAACCATTCTCATCAAGACTCAATACAACACTCGGTTTGCATCAGTTTCGGATCTGAGAGCAACCCCTTAGCCTGATCACCTCATAGACCGCAGTTGCCCCTCCAGAGAAGACGCTCTGATAGCTTTCCTTAAGCTCTTCGGCTTTTTGTCTCCTCAGAGCTCGGACTTAGCCATGGATCTACTCGGCTTCCCTGACTTTTCCTCCTTGACTTTGCCTTTAGACGGTGCAACGTCGAATGTCGGGATGGACACGGACTCCTCTCCCATGATATAGTCTTGAGCCCGAGTTAAAAATTCATGGTAAGTGCTGGGTTTGTTCTGGCAGAAGGACCACATGAACAGCGTCTTTGGCTTCAGCCCAGGTTGCACGGATATTAGCAGCGCCTGCGGATGACACTGGTCCATATTTTGAACTCGATCGTTGAACCTAGAGATGTAGACTTTCGTCCTCCCCTTGGACACTGTTAGCGATCGAATCTTTGGGGGCCAGGTTGATTTGCGATCTGATAAAGTGTGAATGGAACGCCGTCATGAGTTGCCCCCACAAAGTGTGATACCACCTTTGTGCCTTCGGCCCCAGCGTCAGATAAAACATGCGGCAACGCAGGGCGTCCATCGCGCCGTGCAGGTCCATCCTCGAGGTATTGAGGTCAATGTGAGAGTCAGGGTCCGAGCTCCCATCGTAAAGTCCGAGCTGAGGCACCTTGATTTTTGCTGGCACATCCTCTTGTAGGATGTCGAGAGAAAGAGACGAAGCGTGGTCCATGACCCGAACACTTGATCGCGGTGGGGGGAAAGGTGAAGGTCCGTCCTGGGATGGGTACCGGCCTTCTAGCTCGGCAATTCTGTGTTTACGAGTCGCGACCTCGTCGATGTCACGCCCGATAGCCTTTCCCCGCTCGATGAACTCCTTGAGGTTGCGATTTTCACTTGACTTTTGTCGCCCAAGCATTGGTGGATGGGCCAACAGACGATTGCAGGCTTGGTTCTGGGTGACTTTTACCTGTCTGCTCGGTGGGCGCCGACCTCGTACTCTTCTCGTTGCGATTCAGAGCCTCGCGATTGGGAGATTCGACCATGGTTTTGGACCGAACAGGCTTTCTCTTCTGTCCTCCGGCTTCTTTGTTGGGGGTATGGAGCAAGGTGTTATCAAGATTTTCAGTCGCGACCACGGTGTTTGCTCCGGTCGCGTGACTCGCAAGTGCCTTGGCAAAGGCCCCTTCGAGGACTTTGAGAACGTCGGGATGTTGCATGGTTGCAGCGAAAGTTGGGACCGACAGGACAGGGTCTTGAGGCCCCTGCTGACGCCGGTGTGAGGTCTCTTCGCCGTTACAGCGATGAGATTGGGCACCAGACTGGTGGGTGGACACGTCATTACCGGATGACGTCATTTTTTAGTAAGTTTTTGAAGTGAAAAAGTGAGAGAAAAGGTGAGTTCAATGTGGAGTTCCACAAGATCGAAATGTTGACACCAAATAACTTATGGTGCCCTTCTTCTAGCGCCAAACTGTTGATGGACAAATCTGATCAACGGTTAAAATATGATATAAAAAGAGTTGGAAATAGAAAATGAGAAGAAAGTACGGTTTAATTGAGTTTTATTATATAATGACGAGGCGGCCTTGAGACTTGAGGTCGGCACTTTGCTTACAGTTAGAAATAATTACGAGAATTGATTATAAGATTTAGAGAGAGAAAGTAGTTGCTGGAGAATTCAACAACCCCCAAAATAAATGAGGAGGGTCGCTAACATCATAGCGCCGCTAACACCCCGAAGACTGCCTATGAACTGTCTTTACTTCTAATGGCTTTTGAGAGAGCAACCGAGTTGTGGTTGTCCTCGCTTATTTTTTACGGCGAATGAGGAACCGACTTGTGGTTACCCATTACGCTTTTGTATGCCGTCGACCGGGCTCGAACTCAGTTTTGATCTATATATATTTACATTTAACGATCAAAAAAAAAATGAGGAGGGTCCCTATTGATAGTATCCTTAAATGTGACACTGTTCTGGTACTGTTCACCGGTCTCGTCGCACAATACTTCTGCATGTCAGGTCGGCACCGCTCTGACAGATTAAATGTGATTAGAGACTTCTTCAATCATGACCTGTCAGACATTAAATGCTACCCATGTGCGCATTAAATGCTGGCAGGCCCCTTTTGCCGAGCTAAATGCCCTAGGGTTATAGTATAGAGTGGCTTGTCCCGTCAGCAATCATTACTTACCAAGTGGCAATAGTATATTATTTCGAGTTCGACTTCCTTACAATGGTCGACCTCTGGGAAACTTCTGATTGGACCCCCAATCCCGTTGACCTTCTGGACCTCAGGATCCCCGATGTCTGCTCGGCGTCGACTTAGATCGACACTCTCAAGTGATTTGTCGGGTGTCGACCTCTGAGAATATATCGGGCGTCACCGCGACTAACTTTAACTTTTAACCAGCTCAACACCTTGTATCGGTTCACTGCCCGGTTCCAACCGCGAGATCGTGTTTCCCCGGTTTTTGTTGTCGGACCATAGACTCCCGGTCGGACTTATCTGGATATTAACAATGACTATTATATTGCACATTAATGGTCGAAACCGACCGAACTGAAAGTTTTAATTCAAAATTTATATTTCGGTTCGATATTACACAAAATATTGTGCAGTTCATTTATCAATATTGCACATTTATTAAACTTTTAATATTGCACATTTATTAAACTTTTAATAAATCTATATAAATACGTCAATATTATTTAATTGTGCAAACCTACACACAATATTGTACAATTTACTTATTAATTATGTGCAATTATTATATGTTTAATAAATTTTAAATTTAACTCATGGACTAAGAATTATTTTTCTTAAATTCCAGATAAGTCCTTGAGACTTATCTAATTCTCAAAGTTGAACCCTCCAAACTCATCAACACCTCCTGCCTCTCGTCGTCACTCGAACCTCGCTGGAGATACTCTTAGTCGTGACAGTCAGATACATGTTGATTACCACTAGAACGAGCACCCCAGCGGAGGCCTGAAATATGGCACTGTCACGATTTGATTGTGTTTGAAAATTACACCCAATTTGAGAATTTAGGTTTCATTAATGGTGTTTAATTCATGTGATCGATATTTTGATTCTGAAAGCGGAGAGTTGTTGAAGGACAACACAAGGAGCGTCATGGCGAGAGTGGTGGTGCGACAGAGGCTGACGCCTGCGACGTCGGCCAGAAGGGTGAAATAGGCTGGGTAAAGGGACCAAATGGCAGCGGTGTCTTCTCTAAGGATGATGAAATGAAGGTAGATAGCGTGAAAAGGACGTCCTTTGCAGTAGAAGATGGGCTGAGACGAGCGGCGACGAGCGGCGGACAGAGGGCTTGAAGCTGTGCACTGTGCGTGAAGCCGTGAACTTTGTGTGGTGTATGTGTGTGTGTGTGTGAGAGAGAGAGAGGGAGAGAGAGAGAGATGACATTGTGGTTGGGTTAGGTGGTTGTGGATGGATGAATTTCATATTCGTGTAATAAGAGCATCTCCAATGGATGATTGTCCATTTTGGGTTGTATGGCATGGAGAATGGAAGCTAAAAAATTATGTCTCCAATGATAAATGTTAATTGTGATTTCATTTGTAATGTGTTGAATTTTAATTGGTTGAAGAAGATATATAAATTAAATAAATATTCTAATATACAAAAGAAGTTGTCTAGAAAGGCTTCTACATCTAGAAAGCCTTCTAGAATTTTTTCAAGCCACATAAGATTAATTGTGACATGTGGCAACAAAATAGAGAAAGGGAAAGACCATTGGAGATGCTCTTTTTACCTTTATTGAATGGTCATTGAATGGTCAAATGTATAAATCCGACCATACACATATTTACAAGAATGTCACAACATATTTGACTTTTATTGTTATATACTACAATTTAAATACACATATTTACAAGAATGTCACAACATATTTGACTTTTATTGTTATATACTACAATTTAACTTGATCATGACCGTTAAATCTTCTACCAAAAATCTTCCATTACATATTATCCAATTTTACGAGAACATACGCAATCAGCTTGCAATTCATCTCTCTTTTATTACGATTTGGAGGTATTCGCTCATTACCGGCATTTTCACCTACCAAATCTCGAAGCCCAGAAATTATAAATTATTATTTGAATAGCAAGCAGTACAGGTTATACACTAATACATATCCACCATCAACCACAAAAATGTAAGCCTTCATAACAAGTAAAATT